TTTTTCCCTGTTCTGATGATTTGCTTCTGTAAATGCAAAGGTTGGTCCAGTGCAGAAGCTTTGAGTCTGCTATTTACCAAATACAATAAATGTTAGTCCTCAACCTTTTATCCAGACACATTCTGCTGCTGAGGATTTCAGTTTGCAAAACAAGAATACTGTCTTTTTCAACCGTGAATGTGACTAGCAACTAGAAATTTGTCTTTTCTTTGTGAGCTGTCAAACAACAGAAGATCCATAAATCATGCAGGCAAGTGACAAATGTATTGTTTTCTCTGTGTATTTTTTCACAGATGGTGTTGTGAATCTTTTTCCTTCCTTTATCTGAGTAGGAAGAGCCTTTGTAACCATTCTTTGAGCAAAATTACCAGGAAAACATGACAACTCAAAACCCTCACCGTTTGATGCCATTTTCCAAAAACAATAACTTAGTCACTGAACCATTTTAAGTGAAGTCACATAGGTGTAGAGACACGCTTCTACTCATTAAAAAGAACATGAGTGAAACGAGTGCTGGCACCCTTTAGGGAAACTAAAGTGAGTGTGCATAATGTAATTTCAGAAATGTTCCACTTGAGGTTTTCTCATTATCGTACATTAATCTCTTAACATGCCCCATGTGGATCTATCAGATCATTTCCTCTGATGAAATGTCTATAATTTTGTCTGGCATCATTTTTCCTGAGCTAATTTATCGGATCATTTTATTCATGGGGCCAGACTAACTCAACTAATGTGCATGTTTCAGATCTCTGTTGAAACCTCACATTAGCAGCAGACTGCAGCACTTCCAAAAGACACAGATTCATTAAGACTGCTGGAGAATCATTTGCTTTCTGATAACAGTTAAGAATATTTCCTCATGCATGCTGCAGATTTGCATTTTATTAGGATCAAACAAATGCTTGATTAGATAACAGATTATTCGTTTTTTCCATTGATACATGTTTGAAATATAATTTTTAAAAGCAAGGTGAGCTCCCAGCATCCATGGTTTCTACATATAGGCAGGTGAGGCTGCATAGATCATTGGCACTACATCTGGCTGCAGGTTAAGAGCATCCTCAATGCCCCCTGAGAAAGATTTTTTTATATGCTGACAGAAAAATTCCGCTATCATCAATACATGACCTAGAAACAAACCACATCTATCATCTATAACCAAGGCATTGATGGCAGCATCCTAGCTGTTATTGCTCTTCAGGATGCTGGGGAAGATTCTCAGTAATCCAGGTCATAGTCATTCCAAAAAAGAAAATTAAAAACAAACCACCGGACTTTGTTTCCAAGTTTGAAGACATTTCGCTTCCCATCCAGGAAGCTTTTTCAATTCAAAATGTCAGAAATAGCGTTGAGTTCGAGGCTTTATACAGTAGCCCATTCTGTCTGTAAAAATTATCCCTGAACTGGAAGTAGGTTGTGGAAAGACAAAAGTCTAGTAGGGGGCAGATCTGGTCCAGAGTGAAATTAGTCCTGTTTTTTAGGTCGCTGTCTTGTTGAAGACGTTTCCTGATTGTTTCTACTGCCTCTGATATTGGTATTGGGTTACTGTATAAAGACTCAACTCAACGATATTTCTGACATTTTGAATTGAAAAAGTTACCTGAATGGAAGCAAAACTTCTTCAAACTTGGAAACAAAATCCAGTAGATTTATTTTCCCACTTTTTTGGAATGCTCTTCAGGATGTTGTCGCAGTCAAACAGGAACAGACTAGATGAAGCGGCTTTGACGAGAGAAGCAAAGTACGTAAATGCCTGGTTTTAACTAACAAATATTGCAGAATGGGAGAATAGAAGTAGAATGAAGCAGAAATATGAAAAGGGGTCCCTATGTCCTCCAGCAGTCTAAGCATATAGCAGCATAACTATAGAGATAGCTCAGGATAACCTGAGCCACTCTAACTATAAGCTTTATCAAAAAGGAAAGTTTTAAGCCTAGCCTTAAAAGTAGACAGGGTGTCTGCCTCATGGACTTAAACTGGTAGTTGGTTCCACAGCAAAGGAGCCTGATAACTAAAAGATCTGCCTCCCATTCTACTTTTAGAAATTCTAGGAACCACTAGTAAACCCACAGATTGAGAATGAAGGGCTCTGTTAGGAACATGAGGAACAATCAGAATTTTGTGTTAATAGATGGGGCTTGGTTATTTAGGGCTTTCCGTGTGTGAAGGACGATTTTAAATTCTCTTCTTGATCTAACAGGCAGCCAATGAAGGGAAGCTAAAATAGGAGAAATGTGATCTCTCTTTCTAATTTTCATCAAAACTCTGGCTGCAGCATCTTGGATCAGCCGGAGGCTTTCGACTACAGTTTGTGGACTTCCTGATAGTAAAGAATTAAAACAATCTAGCCTTCAAGTAGTAAATGCATGGATTGGTCTCCCAGCATCACTCTGGAAAAAATATTTCAAATTTTTACATTTTTCCAAAGGCGAATGAAAGAAATTGTAGAAAGCTGTTGGATATGCAATTTAAATAAAAAGTCATGAAAAAAAAAAGTTTTTTTTTTTTTTTTTTTTTACATCATTAGATGGGAAAATTGTTTAACCTTGTTTTATGTTAAATGGAGGTAGACATTTTATCAAAGTTTCTTATAAATACATTATCATTGTTGCTGTTGTACTGTAAGGTCAGCATGCAGGCTTTAAAGATAAATACAGAGCATTTCAGAATAGAACAGCTTTAATTTAATATCGTTTCATCAATAAACAAAAAAAGAAAAACCTGGTTTCAGTGTTAATGTTAATGTTGTTGCAATTCCACACAGATGTCACTAGAGGGCAGCCAAGGACAGTCCACCAATAGATATAGGAATTCTACAACTACCGTTTGATGTATTTGTTTTACACAAAGAGGACAAATATTTTTATTCATTAAGAATGAAATAAAATGGACATAATATGTCAAACTTCCCAGCTTTGTTTAATGTGTATAAGATATGAATGCTTTCCTTATGCTAAACTTTTTTTACACAAACCTTCTGCTACACAAGGACAATTAATATTTTGTGTATCTTATAACTCCACAAAAACGTATCATGGTCTTTTGGTCATTGCTGAGAGTATTTTCCTTTGGGAACATTTATTGTAAGTTTGGGAACCAATGGCATTTCAACATAAACTTTATTGAAGGCGTCCTACACCACGCAGCCATCTACAAAATACACCAGATCAGCTTATTTATGTGGTCCCATTTATATCTGATGGCACTTTAAAAAACATAGTTGTAAATAGAAATGTGACATATTATAGTCAAATTTCTCTGTCCGGTTTAATTCTAATCACATGAATTAATTTAAAACTCAGTTTTGATACATTTTAGTCAAATGCATTTTATATGGTCAATTACAGCTTTCTACAACGGCTTCTTTAGTTGCATTGATTGGTTAACCTCCCTGCAACTGCTCACAATGGGCATCCATTATGTTTAAATGTAATATTGTCCTATTTTCCTACATTGTTTTGTACAAATCAAACACTTCAGTTGTATTTCTGCTTTTCTTTATGATACAGCATCACTGTTTTCAACCATTTATCTCATCATGACATTTAGGTTTAGAGCTTAAGACCTTTATATCCTTAGGATAAATACTTTCGAATTCTAAATCTGAAGGTATAAATTCCACTTTGTCATTATTTGCCTGTAAAGACAGAATTAATTGCTGCATTGCTATTACTATAAAATTAAATGCTTTAAAGCGATGTGAAAGATTTAAATTTACTAATTTAACTTTACAGTTTACTTTAAGAATAGGTCAGACAGATAAGGGAGAAAGTTGTGCATATGTTGAAAGCAGGACTAGTTTAAAAGATATCCCAATTTTTTCACTGCCAAAAAAACAATCTAGAAATAAGTAAAAATTATTGAGTGTATTTACCCTTAATTTGAGTAGGTAAATAAGATTATTTGCCAATGGAATGAGTACATTTACTCTTAAAATAAGATAATTATATAATATCCACTTGAAATAAGACAATGCAATTGGTTTTTCTTATCGGAAATGTAAATTGCCTTGTTCCATCGGCAAAGTGTCTCACTTACCTCAATGGAAGAAAAAACATCCCTTATTCTAAGAAAATCTGACTTATTTATATTTCTATTTTTGCAGTGCAAACAACTGATTAAATGCACATAAATCCATCTTTTAAATGAAAGTTTAGAGTGTGGATCCACTGCAGAGCTACCAAGGCATGGTCATCCTAAACTGACAATGATAGATCTGGAGGAGCAGCAATTATTTCAGCTTAGGTGAAACTGGAAGGACAAACAGGTAAATACCAGTATCATTAAAAATATTTGATGCAAGTTACTATAAAATATCATATGGATAAAGCTTTGGTTAAATGACATAAGAAAAACTGGATTCACATTCAGGTCAAGCACCCAGAGAACTTTAATCTGTTTACAAAACATGCAAACAAATACAAACTCTTAACATGTGAAAAATGAGACCATATAAAAGCTTAAATATGCTGAATGAGAAATAGTGTCAACAGAACAAATAAGTATATTTTTAACAAATCTCCACCACTTCAGTAAAGCAGACATAAAGTATCTCAGATTTGATGCAATGAGGCAGCGTTAATCAACGATTCCCCCCCCAGGAATAATATAACACCCATAACAGCCACTGACAAGGTTCAGAGTGCTGATGTTTCACTGCTTTGTGCTCCGTCTCTTTTTACAAGGAGTCACCATAAAAGGGGAGACCTGAGCCAGCAACAAGTACCCACAACATGAACACAAGGCTTCGTGTGGTACGGAATGTCAATCATTGGGAAACAATAAAGACAATATCATGTAACAAACATCCACATCGACAAACTGCTATAGTTTAGTCAGAATGTGTGAAAGAAATCCCTTCAGTCATTATTTCTTTTTATAAAACACGAAATCAAACATGTTGTCAAGTAGTTATTTAGGTAACGTGTGAACATGGCTGCCATGTGTGATTCCGTTTATTTACTCCTTTAGTGTATATAAAAATCTAAGCCAGCGCAGTAACGTGAAACTTGTTCTTCGAGGACGAAAGTGGATGAAAAAAATGCTGATTGTAAGCAATTTAAGACATGTAGGTCCAAAGAACACAGTTTGCGGTCCAAACATTTTTCTACTGAGTAACATTGAAAATTTTATCAACAGAATGAACTGATCCATTTCCTTGGTGGTATGGGATAATATTTAAAATGTAATGATTAAAGAAGCATTTCAGCAGAAAGACACCAGCTGCAGAGAAACATCTGTACAATCATTTATCTTTTCTCTTATGTTTACCTCTTCACATTTTTCAAGACGATTTTTTTTTCTTACTAAAACAATATTCCCTTTAACTTCCTCTTATGAACTCCTCCTTCAGGTTTAGGGTTAACTGAGCCCGGCATCTTAGCTGTCTGTGGAGCCGCTGCCCTTGTTCTTATTGCGGCTGAGAGGGAAGGTGGACTTGCTCTGCGGCTGGGTCATCTTGCTGGCCAAGTGGACGAAGGGTTCGATGAGCGTGCGTCGGTCAACCACCGACACCTCCCAAAGACGCACCTTCTCATTCTTCGCCCAGTCCTGAGCATAGTTAGCATTGATTCTCCTTTCCTCCTGCTTGTCAAGCTTGTTGCCCAGTACGATGATGGTAACCTGTGAGGGTTAAAGGAATACCCGGGCATGAGTGAAATCTTGGTAACCAGTTAAAGCCAACTGTGCACTTATGTGCTGCCTTATTTAAATGGAGCTGAAATGCAATAATGATATATAAATCTCATCTTTAAAAAATATATTTTTCATACACTAGAAACCTGTGTTACAATGCATCTTAGTCTTTAAATTGATGTCATATAAATGACAATTAGTCTACTTATTATGGCTAGCATAGGCTGGTATAAATGTTATATTAAGCTACAAGAACAGAGTAGCTAGACATAAAAAGAAAAATTCCTAAATAAATGATTCAGTTTTTACCTCTTTCTTGTCTCTATGACGATCAATGTCTTTCTTGAGCATCTCCATTCGCTTAAAGGACTCTTTGCTGTCGATGCTGTAAACGAGTACAAAGCCATCGGCAAAACTATAATAATGACGAGGAAACTCCATCCCGTCCCGGAGGCCACGAGTATCGTAGAAGCGCACTTGCTCCCGTGTGCCCCGGTCTGTCTCAATGGAGCCAATGTAAATATCCTCGAGGGTCTCCATGGGCTCTGAACCTACAAAAGGGGACACATAAAAACCATGTATTTTCACTTTATTTGTTAAAATTAAGGCTGGAAAATTAATTGCATTTGCACTAGAATCTCAATTTATAAAATGATTGCAGAGGCAATCTGTTTTATTCACAGTATATTTAACAAGAATAAGACATAAAATGTCTCACTCCAGTTCTTTAGGTGGTGGTATCACACCTGTTTTTGTCACCACACAGAAAGGTAAATAGATTTGCTGCTAGCATGCAGGTCTATGCAGGCCCTTTTTCACATTAAACTTGCAGTAATGTCCTGCAACAATGGATTTCGGGCAAGCAAGCTTTCAAAAACTGAAAGCTTTGGGTAAATCATCTACAAGTGTGGAGTTAGTTATAAATAATTGCAATTTAGATTTTTTTGGCAAAATCATTCAGCCCTAGTTCAAATTAGAAGCAGTATTTACTATTAATCTCACAAAGGTAACAGATATGGATCATGGATACGTTTTCATTTTTACCTAATTGACTCACCCTTACTTGTTAAAGTACATGAATAAATGTCTGCTGAATGGGGGTACATTTTCGAAGTTAGGGATAGCTGCAAAAAAGTGAAGCCAGCTAACATTAAGCAGAAGAAGAGGGAGAGAATATTTTACATAGTTGTTATTTATATCAATATGTTGCATTATGTTGAAGCACATGCTGAAGCACATGTATCCATCACTAATAGAGGAACTCTTCTTTCTTCAGCAGACATACTTGAATTTGTTTTGGACACACACACCATTCATTCACCATCAAACGGACGAGAGTGTAAAGAAGGCTGTCAACCTACCTGCAACATGATTGGCATACAGTAACTGTTCCAACACAGCTGTTTTACCAACTCCAGCCTGGCCGCACACAACAACTTTGCAGCTTTTTCCCATGATGGCTTCACAGTTTTCAGTCACTAAATCTGTTTGTAAAAAAAAAAAAAAAAAATCAAAGAATTTCAAAATTATCTTCTTAGTATTTTCGTAAAAGTTCAAAAAATATCCACTGGACTTGGTTTCCAAGATTTGAAGACGTTTCGCCACCTCTCCAGGAAGCTTTCTCAATTCAAATGTCTGGATCCGCAGGGAGTTTGAGTCTTATATAGACAAAGCCTTGTATCACTTGGAAACATGCAAATGGTAACCGATGAATGGGTCGTTTGGTTCCATTGTTAGCCTGTAATATCTGGCGAAATGTCTTCAAATCTTGGAAACCAACTCCAGTGGATATTTTTTGAACTTTTACGGAATGACTATGACCTGGATGACTGAGAATCTTCATCAGCATATCTTCTTAGTAGCAAGTGGCCCAATGAACAGCAAATATACGTACGTAATCTCTTATAAAAATACTAAATGGATTCATTGCATTTAAATAACACTTCATTATGTATATGTATTAAATAAATAAATAAATAAATAAATAACCATGAGACAGGATAACAGATTTTGATAGGAATTGTAATCTTACTCCATTCTCAAACCGTTTCCACTTGCAGAATTAAGATGATAACTGTATATTTGGACAGAGGAACTGTCCTACTTACTGCTGGGGAAAACACTAGTTCTGACACACAACAAGCAGGTAATATTAGGGTGTAATAAACTTTAAACTTTCAGATTACAGAAGATATCAGATGGACTATATATATATGCACCTTTATTTCTTTTGGCACCTTCTTTTTCTCTTTTTTACTATTTAAGCTGATGAAAGGAGTAAATTTCTCCACTGTCTGTGAGATCATTAATATTTTACCTACAACATTGTAGTTTGGGTGTCAAAGTTTTTGCACGGAGTCATACTTTCTGGTAAGTCATTTAAAACAGGAAAATTAATAAATAAGTTAGTGATTAAAAAAAACAACATCCAGTAACAGCTAAATAAAACCCAGAAATAGCTTAGCATTAGCAGAACTGATGCAGAACCGCAATGACATGAATGACGCAATTATTCCTGTAAACTTCACTTATACAACAAACAAATATATGTTACAAAAATGCATATGACGTTATCGATTCGTTAACTATCGCTATCTTTTGTTACTCTACCGATTTCAACCTACCGTCGGTCCGTTTTCCTTAGCTGTCGGATCACTTCCTGTTTACAATTTTACGTACCAACGACTGCAGTCAAAGGCCACGCCCACTCCCATTGACACGGCAAAATGGCGACGGAGGATTGTGATGCTGTGAACATGGACCCTGACATCGAACTGCTCAGTGACGAGGAAATAGAAAGGTGGGAGAAATACGGGGGTTGTCAGTGGCAGGAATGGAAACATAGCAAACTATCTCACCGTTATGTACCTCCAAATTTTCTTGTCATTTGCGTTTCTTGGGCTGTTTGGTGGCTAACTAGCGCGCTACAGCTAGCTGTTAGCTACGGTTTGGTAGCTTGGTCGGTCTTCCTTCCACGCCAACTATATTGACTGGTTTCTATGATTTGAGGAGGGGACTTTACTCATGTAGAGCAGAAGTTAACTCTGACGGTGAGAACTGTCTTCCCACCACTGTCTTTTTTATTTTATTTTACTAGAATTGGTCACAGGTAGCATTCTTCTTCTTCGTTTTTTTTTTTTTTTTTTTGCGGGGCTCTGATGTAAAGCATGACAGGCTTCCAAATAAAGTAATGGCAGTTGTACAGAGCATGGTGTCATATGTTCCTGGCTCTGCTCTTCCCAACCCGCTTCACAAAATAGCCACCTCTTCTCCAGGAATAGACTTTTCTGTTCTGCTATTTGGTCTCTTTCTATGTTTAGCTAATTCAGGCCAGAACTTTCCTATTTGTTTACATTGTCACGCACATTGGCATCTATACGTATAATTATTTTTCACAGAAATCAACAGAAACCCAGGTATTCTGATTAAAGGGAAAGTGAAATTTAAGCAAAAATCTGTTTATTTCATTCTAATTTATTTCTTTGTTGGACCAACTTTACACTTTTATAGTAACATTCTTCTAAATATTGGAGTCTTTAGAATATTTTTTACTTCTTTGAGATAGTTCAAACTCTGTAAGATTGGATGGAAAACATTTTTACAACAGATTCTCACTTAAATTTAGGTTTGGACATTAATTTTGCCCCACTAAAACAATGTATATCTTCTACACCCCTGGATGTAACTATCATGATCTAAACTGGGGGTCTCCTGAAAGTTTAAGATATGTTTATCCACTACCACAGCTAAACTTCTGCACCTCCTCTGGGTGTAATCTTTTTCCAGACCTCTGGTATTGAACCATTGATTGCGTTCAGATATGATCAACCAGGGAAATATATTAAAGGGGAACGCCAGTTTTTTTTTGTTTTTTTTTTACATTGGGCCCTTGATTTTATGTTATTACATCATGTTCTACTCATTTGAGTTTTGTGTCATTTGGAGCTGTTCTGAAGATATTCCATTAGGTTATATCCAAGTAACGTCTTCCTATGGGCGATCGACTTGAAGGCACAAACTGAACTGTTCATAATTTATTCTTTAAGGTACGCCAGCATTCATAACATGTAGACGAATCACTGTCCACCAGACATCCGCGGTTATATTTTTTATATTTATATCTTTCAAAAACGAAGCAGCGCGTGTATGGCGTCATCCGCGTGCGCCAGTTACAATTCATTCATCCTGTCCGCTGAACTGCTGCTAGTTTTCCTCACATGCCTGGAAGATGTCTAGCGCTACTACCACAGATGATCTCGCTTTCGAAATGGAATTGAACAATTCAGATTAGCTAGCAGAATGAATAGAAGGGGTAGAGCGTAGTCGCCTGTGTCTCGGGCTGCCTGTTACGACTCCAGTCCGCATGCGTGAAGAATCATTACGCAATAGCTCTGGCTTTGAGCAGGCTTGGATGTTGGTGAATTTTTAGATTTTCAGTCACCTGATTCATCCTATTCTCATTTTTTCTTTAATCGTGTTTAATTTTCCTCTAACACCCAATTCTAACCACAGGGATGCAGAGGCCTTCAAAGAGCAAGGTAACGCATTTTACATCAAGAAGGACTACACAGAGGCATTCAATTATTACACTAAGGCTATTGGTAAGTTCTTCAAATATCCTTGCAGAATATCTTTTCTTCAATTGTCAGTTGCATGGGTGTATTTTTGGATAACGGTCATCGAATGTTCCTTTTTTTTGTCTTCAGATATGTGTCCAAAAAATGCAAGCTACTACGGAAACCGGGCGGCCACGCTTATGATGCTGTGCCGATACAGGGAGGCGTTGGAGGACTCCCAGCAAGCAGTGCGATTAGACAACAGCTTTATGAAAGTAAGCCGGTGAAAACGAGAGCTGGAAGTGAACTTTTTTTTCTTTTGTGTTGATCATTTTCAGTTTAATATAACCTTTAAAAAATATTGATATCTTGTTTTTTTATTTGACCTCTTCACATTCCCTTTGGTGCTTTTCTTTCATATCACATAAGATATATATTACTTGCCATAGAATGGTGTGTGTTTTCAGCAGTGTTTATTACTTCGGGCTCCTAACTTTTCCTCCTCTGTTCACAGGGACATCTGCGAGAGGGTAAGTGTCACCTCTCACTCGGCAATGCTATGGCTGCAAGCCGCTGTTTCCAGAGAGTTCTGGAACTGGAGCCAGATAACAGCCAAGCCCAGCAGGAGGTGAGCAAATCCACAGTTTTCGAGTTTTATCTTTGATATCCATTCTCCATTAAAATGTGTTATGAACAGATTTCCTTTGTTATACATTTATGATGCATGGAGAGACGTTTAAGAAAGTTAAATTGAGCTGTTTTGCAGTTGAAAAGTGTTGAAGTGAATGTCAGACTGTTTCCAGAAATATCCCTGCTCATGTCAGACTGGTTTAACAAGGACTGATGATGTCATAGAAAGTGCCTGGGTATTGTGATTTTGCTAATGTTAGTCCTCCACATTGCTTCTGAATCCTGAAAAATATATTTTGCAGCTAAAGAATGCAGAATCCATCCTTGAATACGAGAGAATGGCAGAGATTGGGTTTGAAAAGAGAGACTTCAGAATGGTAAGCTTCTTACTAGATTGTGATACAACTAGATAATACATTATTAAACTATGTGTTATAACATTTATTGTACCACATAAGGCTAATAGGAATCATTTTTCATATAGAATCATGATCCTTCTGAAAAGCATGATCGTTTCCTGTGTAGCAAATGTACTTGTTGGCAACTCTTTTGCATAAATTACTCATCAGGGCATCAGACTGTGGCTCTGCTGAGGTGTGCAGAAAGCCGCTGTTCTTTCAGTTCTGACCTTCAGCTCTGCTGCATTGACTGCTCGGGTGTCTCTGGTCCCCTTCTTAACAATTCTCTGTAGTTTTTCTACTGGGTTTCAGTCAGGCCAGTTTGTTGGACAATCAAGCAAAGTGACTCTGTGATAATTAATGCAGGTGTTAGTTGGTTTGGCTTTGTGGGTTTTTGGCAGTATTACCATAGTTGTTGTCGGGAAGGGAAGCTCTTAGTGCTCTAAAACCTCCTGGTAGATGACTGTGACAAGACCCAGAGATACTTGAACTTCTTCACATGAGACAAGTTCTCTCCACCGAACCCTTTTTCGTTCATCTTCACCTATAAATTACTGCTTGTCAAAAATCTGTGCCTCCCCAATGAACAACATTTACTTTCATCTAAGTGGGAAGTTTGTAACATCAGACCTTTTACTAATTAGCCTAGGGAAATTACTTCAGTTACTTTCACTAATTCAGGAGTGGCTTAACACAAGGAACCCAGCTATCATGGTTCACCTCCTGTAGAAGCTCTACTCTGCTGTTAACTCTGGTGCACCTACAACCTTTCCTTCTTACCCAACATTCCATTGATATGCTTTGATTCAGAGCTCTGAACGGTTGTGGAGGGTGTCAGTATCTGTCAGGTTCACAGTTTTGCTAACGGCTGTGTAGGCCAGAGGTATTTTAATGGGGGGAGGCATGGAGGTACTGAATGGGGGTTGTGAAAAAGATCTGAACGAAATTATAAACAATTAAGGAAACATCTGTAATATTTCTTAAACTAGAAAAACAAATTCTTCATGTCTGACTGTTACACAACTACCAACAGCTTATATAAATAACTGGACTGTGGAGTTATTATTGAATTCCTTTGGATGTTTATTTTTAGGCTGACATTTCTTCTATAACCCTCCGGGCTGAACAGGTTAAATCTCCGCCATCAGCACCTCAGTTTTCCACCTCATGTTAAAACCTTTTGTCAGCAACTGGTAAAAACCTTGGTTCTAACTAGGGTTGTTACGATACTGAAATGTTAAGCTTGATAAAAATAGCCAGGAAAATATTTGATACTCAATAGATTTTTGATACTAGGGGGCTAAAAAAAGTATGAGACGTTTTAAATTTTAAAATATTTAATTCACACCAAAGGGAAAGTAAATAATAGCACATTTTTAAAAAGCATATAAAGCATTTTTATGAACATAAAAAACTCACGTTTTTTAATCTCAACTTAGAAAATACTTTCCCAACAGAATCAAGGATGCCTGATAAAGAAATGCAAATAAATACTAAATAAATACTAAACTTTAAAGACCCTTGACCTATGTAATCTTATGGTGATAATGTATGATTTGTATTGTAAAAATGTAGTATTTTTGATTGTATTTGGCAATATTTGTGTAATAAATGTGGTTCACTTTTTTCTCAATAAAAAAATGTTGTACACTGCAAAAACGTAAATAAAAATAAGTCATTTTTTCATTAAAAAAAGTAGATTTTTACTTGTTTTTGTGTGGATATGTAATAAAATCTGCCATTGGAATGAGATGACTTACATTTAAAATAAGAAAAAAACATCTTATTTCAAGTGCATAATATCTAATTATCTTATTTTAAGATGAAATATACTCATTCCATTGGCAGATCTTTTATTTATATGCTCAATTAAGGACAGTTAGATTCATCTTAAGACATTTATATATTTTTGGATCAGTTTTTGCTGTGCACATAGGTGCATAAGCATTATACTTCTTCACCTATAGGAATAACAAATAAACAAAAACAGGGTAGTGAGAAGTATCACACCCAATCATGCAACTGTAGTGGAGGTCAGTGGAATTTCCTGTTTAAAAATAACTAAGAGCATCAAAAACATCTGACCAAATGACTGATGTCAATTA